TGCGGTTTTAAAAATTTTAAAACCGTATATTCAGATAATAAAACCGGTTTCAACGCCTTATATGCATATCATTAGAAAGCTAGAAAGCGCAAAAAATGTATTTATTTATTTTCGGATATTGAAAATAAAAGAGTTTTATATGCAAAAAAATTGGTAAACAAACGTGCTTAATTTATTTATTATCCGAATATCCTGTTCAAAAATTTAGAAACCCGGTTCCTTTTTCATAGAACAGTCGGATTAACCTTAATTATCATCGAAAAACATATATAGTTATGCAAAAATACGCAAAACATATACATTTGGAGGAAAAAAGAACCAGTTTTCAAAATTTTTTAACCGGATATTCAGTTAATAAAACCGGTTTCAATGCCCTATATATACATATCATTAGAAAGCTAGTAAACAAATGAGCTAAATTTATTAAACCGGACCGGATTATCGGTTTTATTATCTGAATAACCGGTTCAAAATTTTAGAAAACCGGTTCTTTTTTCCTAGATCTGTCGGATTCACCTTAATTATTTGCTAAGAACATGAATAGTTATGTCTAATACGTCAAAAAAATAAATTTAGAGCAAACACGAACCAGTTCTGCATATTTTTGAACCGGATATTCAGTTAATAAAACTGGTTTCAATACATTATATGCATATCATTAGAAAGCTAGTAAACTATTGTGCTAAATTTATGGAACCGTACTATTACCGGTTTTATTATCCGTATATACGGTTCAACATTTTAGAAACCCGGTTCTTTTTTCTTAGAACTGTCGGATTCACCTTAATAATTTTCTAATACGTCAACAAAAATATATTTAGGGCAAAAAATAACGGTTTTGCAAATTTTTGAACCGGATATGCAGTCAATAAAACCGGTTTCAATGCCATATATGCATATTATTAGAAAGTTAGTAAAAAAAACTTGCTAAATCTATTGAACCAGACTATTATCGCTTATATTAACGAAATATCCGGTTCAAAAATTCAGGAAACCGGTTTTATTTTCCTCGAAATTTATATTTTGGCGTATTTGGATTAGGACTTCCCGTTCTTTGACAAAATTAACTGCCTGCAATACAAATTTTAACCGCGTTATAAAGATATACCCTTTAATTGATGGCCCCCATAAATGTTATTAGGTTGACTCGGTTCTGCTCCGCAATCGGCATACGACCATTTTTATTAAACAAAAAAAATCATAACCCTATTGAATTACAAAATTCTCTTTTTTATCAATGAACTTGATCTTGTATCTTAGGTGTATCCTTTTGTTGCGAATAAAATTTCATAAATCTTCCGAACAAAAAAGAACGAACGAGAAACATCTGTTTTTGCGCATGCTTGACTTAACCCAAAATGTTTGTTTGCCAAAAACCGTTTGCCTTTTGTGGTCAAGATTAAAGATACAATAAAAACGAAGCATTGACCATTTGTGGGACTCTCCTACTCATTTGCCTTTGTTCCATTGCCCGGCCTCTGCCCATTCAATGGACAAATTTAATTTGCCAAACAATGGCTGGCAAAATTTGTTGGGTACCTGGCCGCGTGCGTATGGCCTTCCATTGAGACCGAAAATGTTCTGTGCAAAAAAAGAGATTAATCAGCAGAATTATTTTTTTGTTTGAAAAATGAGCACTCACTCTGCTCTTCTTCTTTGATGCTGATGATGATAAAGGAGATATTAGCAAAAAAGAAGATTATTTGGATCATCCATCCAAAAAATGCTGTACTTTTTGGTCCTTTTCATTTATTTTTGGTTTTCTTTTCTTCTTAAGAACAAGGAATATATTTTAAAGAGCATTAACAAATTATTGCAATTCAATAAGTTTTGCTCTTTTTTTCTTCCTGTTGCTGGACCTTTGATATTTTTTTGGAAAGGAAACAAGAAATTTAATCTGCAAGTTCCGTTTTGTATTTTTTGGAAATAAAGAAGGAAGCTGCTGATTTTCTAAAAGAAAATGCAATTAAATATTAAATTCCCTTTACGAAGTTATGGATAAAATTTGAAACAATTATGGGATTATAAAAAAAATAAATGGTCAGGATAAAATGTTGAAGAAAACGGAGCAATAAAAATAATCGCTAAAATAGTAAAAATTAAAATACGATATAACATCATATATAGTAACGCCCATTAGATGAGCTCGCAACATAGACTTCTCAACATGTCCAGAGAACTTCTTTGTAATATTGGTCCTCTATATATTTCATTTGATTTTATTTCACGTTGTAATAATTTTCTGTCCGATTGTATGAGCATCCAAAAATTTTACAACTGGCAAAAATTGAATTATCCACTTCTTTGGAAAATCGGCATACTATAGACAATGTCAAAAAATCAACTTAAAAATATTTCATATTGGTCATTATTTTTTGTTAAAAAGGTGATTTTTTTCATAACAAAATTTTCATCTGTTGCTGCCAAAAGGAATGAAAATTCCTTTACAATAACTGTATAGAAATTTCAAACAAAAAAAAAGCAACAAATTTCCGAAGGGTGTTAATTTGGCAAACAGCAGGTCACCATGCTGACCTGTAACTGTCAACTGCCTGGAAAAATAAGCAAACGCTAGACAACAGACAACAAAAAAAGACCGACAGCGAATGGACACAAAGGCGTAACAATGACATTTTAGTTTAATATAAAGAGGCTAGTTAGCCAGAATTCTAGCAAATATCTGTTGTATTACTTGCACTGGATTTCTAAAAAAGGTCAGTGGATTTAGGAAAAAAAGATGCAATAGCCAAAAAGGTGTTTTGCAGAGGCATATACAGGATTCAAGGCATTGCAAAAAAGATCTAACAAGATGTAGTTTTTGTAGTTGCTGAATAGCATGTAATATAGATTACATACTTATAAAAGTGTAATACTTTTAACATTTAAAAAAATATTAAAAATTTAATTTTTTAAGGTTCAGGAACGGACCCTATAAAAATATATCGATAATCTAATCTCAATGCTCTTATTTTTTGTATAGATTGCTTCATTATCTTATATCCACGCTCCTGCATAAAAATATACCTTTCATTGGCTATATTGGTTTCCTTGTTGTCTTAAAAGTATTAAATTTACCCAATTTTCATTTATGATTCACAATAGTCATTCAATTCCCATTGATAGTTGTGTTATTGTAGCCTAGACACAACCCCTATGTATTTAGCACACATATGGCTTTAATATCGATAAACAAGTTTAATCGATTATCACCAATATGACCAATGGGAATCTAACTGGAAATGCTAACAAACCATTTGAGAAGTCACATATGAATGATAGCATAGCAGGGAGTCCAAAATAGTATTATTATTTCTTGTGTATCGTGTCGAAATAGAGATTTAGGCCAATACCATGGTACAATAACAACAGGTATGCTTACTTAACGAAATTAACAAAAACTGTAGTCTAGTGTATTATTATTATTGGTCTGTTCCCGTACCGCAAGAATCTACTCGATTTTACTATTATCTTCGATATCATAAAGGAAAATTCGTTATAGTAGTAAAAAGTAGTAGATTTTTGCAGTACGGGGACAGACCATATGCCATATTTACATATGAACATATTCAACCGGCTTTTCTATTTATTTGAGATATTTTTACAATTTTAATCGATGCGGCAAATATCGCGAAATTGTAATCCTTGATCAGCGTAGAAATCGAAGTCCATCGGCCTGCTGCATTCACACAAGGTTAAATTGAAATGAGAGGTGGTTTACACTACCACATGTTCTGTTAAACCTGTGAGTGGCCTGAGGTGTCCTCTAAAGAATGAAGGATGTAATCATTGGATTTGCTTTTCCTAAACTTTTAAGAATTTTGTCTTTTTAGGTTGGTTATTTTTACGCAAGGTGTAATTTTCTAAGAATTGGGTTCGGAAGCTTGAAATGGCTGGACAGTGCCACAGGAAATATTCTAACGTTTCACTGTCTTCTTCACGTGCTCTACACCAGTGGCTTCCTTTGCATCCAATATTGTGTAAGTGGGTCTGCAGGTTGTTATGTCCCTTGAGAATACCCGTCAGCCTGCCGACTTTTTTGTTTAGCATTAAAATTTGGGTCTCCCCATAAAATGTTTATGGTTTTCACATTCCAAAAAAAATTGTTGGTTTCTGTTGCGCACGACCTCACTTCACTAAGAGTTCATGTGAGTATATTTGCTATTTCGCTCCCTATTATGTGATCCGATTCTTACGACACCATGTTGCGAAAAATTATTTACCGTTTTTATACATTCTAAAACAGTTTTAAATTTAACTATTTTAGAGGTTATAGGTTTTATGGCTTGTATAATGTCAGCCAATATATTTGTTATATCCTGACCAGAGTTGGCACTAACCCATTTCTGACACTCCGTTATAGTTTGAACATCTGCCTGTGGGATTGTATTGTGATCTTGTAGGCAAAGTTAAATTTCGGGTTTCGGTTCTTCAATGAAAAATCCCACATTTGCATTACTTATTTTGTCCATTGCCAGATTACTAACGCGTATGTTAAAATTGGTCTAATAAAGCTCTAATAGATCCAATGTATCACCTTTGGATTGAAACCCCATTTAAAGCCTATGGCTCTTCTACAGACATCCCATTGCTGTATGTCTTTCGATTTACTGTTCCATTTTAGTCTTTCTAGTGAAAATACATATCTTCGTCTTGTCCGTATTTACCTTGAGGCCTCACCCAATCAAAGGCGATGTTTAACGCCTACGTTTATTGCATGTACGTAAACTCCAAATAGATATTTATAAATAAATAATCATGTTAACGGGCTGTAAACATACTTTTACCTTCCAATTACCATTTCCATGTGATTATCTTTCAGCTACCAAACAAAATGTTTTACCATTTCGTAGTGATTTCCCTTGTCAATTTAATTTTGTATCGATAACACCTACAAAAACGATAAACGACAAAAGTCGACCTACATCTCCCTAAATAAGAAGAAGAACCAAGAAAGAAAAAAAAAAGTGGAAAAAAGTAAAAAAGTTCAACTGCAACGGGAAAACTTTTAAACAATTAATAGAATTAATTTATCTAATAAAACAACAACAAATAAAAATACACAGACAAAATGGTGAGTAAACGGAAAAGTGAAGAAAGTACCTACAGTTTGTGGAACTTCTAACGGAAATGGAAACAAAAAAATTGACAACGACGACTTATGTGGCCACTACTGACCAACCAACCAAATTCTAAAAGTAATTTTGGTGCGGGGGGAATAGAAACGATGACGACGATACGATATTGCAGATGGTATCAAGAGTAGTGATAGAATATTTTCTTGATTTTCTTATTGATTTATGTCGGTATTTATGTTAATAATGTGTTTTGCGTTCTTTTTTGCAGAGTTTTGCGGAAAAAATTACCAGTTTAATGGCCAGGCCTAATCAACAGCCTGGACCCACAGACGACCAGCCTTGGTATTTTAAATATGGTGTGCGGTTTCTTGGTATCACAGGAGCATTCTGTAAGTATGCCAAACCTAGCTATGGAGGATGGAAGGAAGTTAATTATGTTTGTGTGTGTGTCTTCCAAAAAAATCACCATGAAAATCTATGCTGGAATCGATTTTGTATGTGTACAAAAAAAGTTTTTTTTTGGTTCTTCGATTTTTCCTGTGTGTGTTTTTTTCTTTCTTTTTTGGTTCGTCAATTTGTGTGTATGCAAGTTGCCTTTTTTGTTGCTTGCTTGCTGCTGGCTAGTCTCTTGTTATCATTAATTTACGCTCAGTTCGGTTTGTACATGCTGCTGCCTCTGCTGCTTCAAGTTTTTCTGACTGACGAGCCTTTACATTCATTATCACCATCACAACGTAGCGGAGTGTTGTAGTACACACAAAGATTATGTGGGTGGGGGTTGGGACGGGGATGTATGTCCTTTGACTATGTTTGCACGCCTCCCAACCAGATGTGTTGTAATGTTGTTTGTTGGGTTACTTTTTAAGGTCGTTCTGTTACGTTTTTTTCATTCGTTTGTCTTTCGACGCTGGTTGACATTGATGGCGGAAAACCCCCCTTAACATCATACCATTCCTCATCCTCCTCCACCACCAACATTTACATTCAAAAATACCTTCTCTCAGTTCAGTTTAGATATCAGTCAGTGTGTATGTATATGCATATGTTTTTGTTGTTGTTCTTTGTATCCTTGATGTTATGGTTTTTGTTGTTGTTGTTCAGAATATGGGTTACCATTGTCAAGTGATTATTTCCGAAAATATGTTTAATAACACACTCACACACACATTTTTATGTCAATATGTGTCCTTGCCAGGATTTCGAGGGGGAAGGAAGTGCGCTAAAGTGTTTTAGTTTAGAAAAAAATATGCCAAAGCAATTTCGATTTTCGAATTTATTTAAATTTAATGTTTTTACAATTCTTAAGTAAATTTTATATGGCTTTGTTGTGCCTGCCCTCTGTGTGTACACCACTTATCAAATTACTTGGCTCTTTGAATGCTTCAATGGTTTCATTTGTGGTTTAAGGTTTTTGTACAGATGAACTAATAGATAGACAGACAGACATCCATCTAGCTTTGTAATTAGCACCACAAATAATTACATCAAAGAAAATTATAAAATTCGGAAACACAATTTTTCGTATAGAAAAAAAATCGAAAACAATTTATTTTTTCGTATAAAAAAATTTAAAAATCAATTTTGTTTCGTATAGAAAAAAATTCGAAAATCAATTTTTTCCGTATAGAAAAAAATCTCACGTCAGTGAATTTTTTCCGTATAGAAAAAAATCTCACGTCAGTGAATTTTTTCCGTATAGAAAAAAATCTCACGTCAGTGAATTTTTTCCGTATAGAAAAAAATTCGAAAATCAATTTTTTCCGTATAGAAAAAAATTCGAAAATCAATTTTTTCCGTATAGAAAAAAATTCGAAAATCAATTTTTTTCGTATGGAAAAAAATTCGAAAATCAATTTTTTTCGTATGGAAAAAAATTCGAAAATCAATTTTTTTCGTATGGAAAAAAATTCGAAAATCAATTTTTTTCGTATGGAAAAAAATTCGAAAATCAATTTTTTTCGTATGGAAAAAAATTCGAAAATCAATTTTTTTCGTATGGAAAAAAATTCGAAAATCAATTTTTTTCGTATGGAAAAAAATTCGAAAATCAATTTTTTTCGTATGGAAAAAAATTCGAAATCAATTTTTTTCGTATAGGAAAAAATTCGAAATCAATTTTTTTCGTATAGGAAAAAATTCGAAATCAATTTTTTTCGTATAGGAAAAAATTCGAAATCAATTTTTTTCGTATAGAAAAAAATTCGAAAATCAATTTTTTTCGTATAGAAAAAAAAATCGAAAATCAATTTTTTTCGTATAGAAAAAAATTCGAAAATCAATTTTTTTCGTATAGAAAAAAATTCGAAAAGAAAAAAATTCGAAAATCAATTTTTTTCGTATAGAAAAAACTTCAGAGGAATAACTTTAAAAACAATTTTTTATAGAAAAAAATGTTAAATCAATTTCGAAAAACAATTTTTTTATAGAAAAAAATGTTAAATGAAAATTTTTCGTATAAAAAAATTCGGAACTATTTTTTATAGAGGATGATCAATGCCCCATATTATTTGTAGAAGAAAAGGAATTCGCATTGAACCATTATGAACTGCATTGATGCACAATATATACCGCAGTCAATAGACTACATTCAAGCGCAAATATAAACAAACGAATGGCATTCATTATAATGCAATTTTCATTTGTCTTGGCAGTGCTTGAAGTTCACCGATGATTTTGTTTTGTTTTTCCGGCTAAAAATACGCACGCCATTAATGAGTCATTGGCAGGAGGGTAAACAATACCGATTTTGATAACGGCAAAACAAAAGTAAAAACAGTAAATATATAATTGAATTAGAAAGTAATACATCCCCCAACCTCTACCTCCTTCCTGCTCCAACAACCTACTGTAAATTATTAATTACTTTTATGGTTAGATTTTTGATTTATTGATGTGGCTGGCTGGTCAAAATCAGGCATAGAAAACGAATTGGCTACGTCAACATTATTACAACAACAACCACGAGTAAATGTGTAATAAAAAAGCCGGCAATGAAGTTTATTAACCCACAACAGCAACAACAACAAACATGCTATAGGAACCACGTCACTAAGCAGCACACAACAAACCTCCACATGCTGCATACAAATTAATCTTTCCGAAGTAGACAACTGCACTCAGCCAGTCAGTCATCGAGCCACCAACACAATAAAGATGCTCGCTAGTCTAGTCTATGTTCTATTGAGTGGAACCGGTTCCATGACTAAATAATAAAGTCAACAACATCATTATTATTTTTTTTCTTTTTTGCACGCATTTATTGTGATCTTTATTATTTCTATTAAGAGTTTCTCTGGTCGCTTAACGGATACTTTGCCGAAAGGTATAAGAAACCAAATAAACATCTTTGTAGAATACAGTTTTGTTAATTGATTTCCCAAGTCGGTTAGTTGGCTAAGAAGAAAATTTAATAAACCATTTTATTCGATGTTGGCTAAACAGCTACTGATGTTGTCACATACGTATTTTTTATGTTTGAGTTGTTCTAATTTTTGTTGTTGTGGTTTTTTTATATTATACATGTTTGTATTATCTGAAATTTGAGAAGTACTTTAATCTTATTAGGGGCGTCATTTGTATATGTGTATTTAGTAGAGTTCTATTAACATTTTTTTTTTTTTTTTTTTTTTTGATAAGAAAAGCAGGAGATATGTAATAAATTTCTAATGAGAAGCAGAGATATGTATTTTTGTAGGGAAATGGCTTAAATGAAAGATAATGGCATGAAAACAAATAATAAAATAATTTATTCGACTCAAAGTTCTTTTTAAGGCTACAATTGTTCCATTCTTTCCCTTTACGAAACTCAAAATAGAAGTTTTTTCTAAGACAATTTTTTTTTCTATATGAAAAAAACATTTTTTCGATTCTTTTCTATACGAAATAAATTTTTTCAATACTAACAAAATCCCAAATTTTTTTCTATAAGAAACATTTTTTCCTGAATTTTTTCTATACGAAATAATTTTTTTCTTTACGAAGTATTCCGAATTTTTTCTTACCCAAAGAAAATTATTCCGATTTTTTTTACTAAAACAAAATTATTCCGAATTTTTTCTATACGAAAAAAATGTGTTTTCGAATTTTTTTCTATACGAAAAAAAATGTGTTTTCGAATTTTTTTCTATACGAAAAAAATGTGTTTCCGAATTTTTTTCTATACGAAAAAAAAATGTGTTTCCGAATTTTTTCTATAGGAAATAAAAGGGTTTCCGAATTTTTTTTCTATACGAAAAAAAATGTGTTTCCGAATTTTTTCTATACGAAAAAAATGTGTATCACATTTTTTTCCATAAAATCGATTTCCGAATTTTTTCTATTTGAAAAAATTTTCCGATTTGTTTTATAGGAAAAAAATTATTCTATACGAAAAAAATGTGTTTTCGAATTTTTTTCTATACGAAAAAAAATGTGTTTTCGAATTTTTTTCTATACGAAAAAAATGTGTTTCCGAATTTTTTTCTATACGAAAAAAAAATGTGTTTCCGAATTTTTTCTATAGGAAATAAAAGGGTTTCCGAATTTTTTTTCTATACGAAAAAAAATGTGTTTCCGAATTTTTTCTATACGAAAAAAATGTGTATCACATTTTTTTCCATAAAATCGATTTCCGAATTTTTTCTATTTGAAAAAATTTTCCGATTTGTTTTATAGGAAAAAAATTATTCCTAATTTTTTATACAGAAAAAAAAACGGATTATTTGTTTCTATAGAAAAAAAAATCTGATTTCTTTCTGAATTTTTTTCTCAACACGAAAAAAAAATATTTTTTTATTTTAAGTAATTTGAAATACATTTAACAAATTATTTTTCCTTTCTTCTTTCCAGTTTGTATATTATTTGGTCTCTTCAATGCTTTAAGTTTATTGCTGTTAAATGTTTCCTGTCTCATTGGTGGTATCATAGAAATCCTGCTAGGTTTTCTGGTAATGAGTTTAGAGGCGCCATGCTGTTTCTTCTGTATAGATTATGTCGGGCAATTGGCTGATATTGCCGATTCAAGACCCATGTGGAATCGTGCGGCATTGTATTGTGTGTAAGTAAAAAATTTTGATTTTTTTTAAATTCTATTTATTAATAACGGATTCTTTGTTTTTTTTAGAGCATCTGTGATTCCAGTAGTTATTTGCTTCTCATTGGGTAGTTTATTCCCATGTGCTTTGGTATTTGCTACCGGTGTTATTTATGGCATGATGTCTCTGGGCAAAAAGTAAGTAACGTAGTTTTTAATGATTTTTCCGATTTTTTCAAAATGTGAATAATGACAGGCTTAAAACTAACAGCCAGCCTTTTACCCTTTGAAAGCTTTTAATGAAAAATTAATACAAGATTTTTTGTTATTGTTGTTTCTTCTCTGATCTTCTTACACTCAAAAAAAAAAAAAAAAAAAATAAATAAACAAAACAAAACATGCTTACCTAACAAATGAAAAATATTTCACAAAACAAAAAAATCGATTCACCTTTTGTCTGTCTCCCTTGAATCACTACCACTGCTGCTACCTTTAATGCCTTTGTGAAAATTAAAAAAAAACAATAACAAGGGCTTCACGTGAGGACATGGCCGCTGCTGCCTCCTCTCCCACACAAATGCAAGCCGATGGTAGTGTTGGACAAATGCAAGTGAGCACAGATCAAAATATTACACTAATGGAAGATCCTGATGTATGGCGCCCAACATAAATGCATTAAAGGCAAAATGAAAAACCACAACAAAAAAACGCCAACAACACAACTCAGTAATGAAATGAAACAAAAAAGCAAATAACAAATACAATATCAGCGAAAATTGAAAAAAAAACAGAGTATAAATAAATATATGTATTAATTGAAAACAGCCGTTAAAATTTAAATAACCACAAAACAAAAAAAACGAAGGACAAACTTGTTAAATTGTGTTTTATCATAACAGAAAAAAATATAAATAGAAAAAAATACATAACCGAAAACAAAAGTAAATAAATTTTTTGGTTTGTAAAAAAAATATTTAAAATAAAAAACCAACCTATACAACTATAGAAAGCCGTTACAAGATGCCCCACCAAAAGATTAAAACAAAAATAAAATTAAATCACAAAAAATTAAAAATAAAATAAAAAATTGATCTCAAAACCAAGCAGACAGACGCTCGCTATCAAGCAAGGCAGGCAAGCAAGATAATACAAAATATATCAATATATTTTTGGATTCCCATTGAATGAAACAACGCTCACAATTATATAAAATATTTAAACAAATAACACAAAAACACCACACACACAGACATACAAATATATGAAAGAATAATATATACATAAATTAGCTTCCATATTACAGCAACTAAAACAAAAATTAAAAACTAAACTAAAATTGAAGAAAAAGCAAACAAACAATAGAGGTACCTATCGTTTTTAAACAAAAAAGGAAAAACTAAAAACATAATCCATGCAAGGCAAACAAAACTTAATACCTATTCATAATAATAAATACTCACTAATGCTACTTAACTACATACATACATACAATATAACTACTAGCGTAGTTAGTATTTAAAATGATAACATCCATAACTTAAAAAACACTAAATAAATATAAATAAAGTTTAAATGATATATAAAAAACAAAATAAAATGTTACTTAACAAAATGTAGAATTAAATTGAAAAAAGTATTGAATTCTTATTGTGCATAAAAAGTAATTTTTCTTTTTCATTTTTGAATTTTTTTGTGTTGCCTTAAAATTTAAAATTTTTATTTCTTATTTTTTTTTTATTTAAAAAAGTTTTATTTATATATTTCTAAATGTACCTAATATAAACTGCCTTTTGCCGAACTTAATTTGTATTGAAAATTAAGCCATTGTATTTTGCAAAAAGTAAAGAAAAGAGAATTTTTAAAGCAGAAGTCATTCACATGCCAAGTGAGGAAAAAATATTCACACGAAGAAATTTTATAACAACTACACTTTTAACTTCCCCAAAAGAACAGTTCAGAGCTCTAAAAATTGATTTTTTTTCGAAAAATAATAATTTTTAAGAAAAAAATTCCGAATTTTTTTTTACAAACAAAAAAAAAATCCAAATGTTTTCTATAAACGAAATTTTTCTATAGCCGAATAATTTTTTTGTATTCTAAAATTCGGTACTATTTTTTTCAGATAACAAAAATTCCTACTATTTTTCGAGTAGAAAAAATGCTACTATTTTTCGAAATGTGGTTCCAAGATTCCACCCAAAATTCTGACTTCCCAAAAGAGCAAAACACTTAAGAGCTGTAAAATTTGAAAATTTTCCGAAGTGAAAAATTTTCATTTTAAGAAAAAATAGTTTCGATATATATTTTTTTTTGCGTTCTAAAATTCGTATTTAGAATTTTTTCGAATAAAAAATCTCTACTACTTTTTCGAATTGAATAAAAAATCTAGTTTTTTGTATAGACAAAGTGCTGTACGATTTATCGTATAGAAAAAAAATTGGGTACTATTTTTTATAGTATTGGGTACTATTATATAGAACAAAATTCGGTACTATTTTTTGTCGTTTATGAAAAATTCGAACTTATTTTGACGAGTTTGACAATTTTTGAAAATTTATACAATTTTTAAAATATTTCAAAATTTCCACTTGGTATTTGATGACTTTATTAAATGTGATTTTCCCTATATTATTTGCTAAATATATTTTTGCTATTTTAAAACCCCCTAAGTTTCCTTATAGACTTAATTGTTGATTTAAATAAATTTAAACAAAAAATTCTGCCATTTTTTAAATGCTACAAAAAAATAAATAAAATAAAACGCCAACAATAAATGTGTCGTTAAATGCTAAAAAAATTCTTTCTCTTACATTCACAAATTAAAGAAAAAAATAATACTGCCAAACATTTAAACCTTAAACCTTAAACGTATTTTGAAATTGCTAATTTGTGTGTACAATGTGTAAAGTACAACAAGAGCATTAACCATCATAAAAAATTGCAAATGTAAATGATGTGGCACACAACACAATACGTCCATCAACCTGCCTGATCGCCCAACTGCCCGCTCACTCGCCATCATCAAAACATCGTTCTGACACATCTGTATTTTATTTCGAAACAAAAAAAAATCGATCGAAAACCATTTATAGCAAAAGGCAAATATGCGATTTCTTTTCACTTGTATTTATTTTAGCTTAGAAAAAATTGCAGTATATTAAATTAGTTTTCAATTGTTTTCCTAAACAGTAGAAGTTTAATTTATAGTATTCCCTAATTCCCAGGGTTTAATGGAATTGTGGGAACCTTTTTTATTTTCGATTTGAATTATTTGATTTAAGCGGTTGTTGAATTTCTTAGACCATTAGGATTTTTTCTAAAAGTTTTTTAGCAATTTTGTAATTTTCCGGTGTAATTATTTTTTTTTTTTTTATTTTGTGCATGTTTTTTTAATATATTCTATTATAATTTCAGTCCTCATTATATATTTTAAAGTTTTTCTATGTATTTTTTCAACCGAAGTTGCTATCATTCGGAATTTCAGGGTTTCACAGAAAAAAATGGCCTGAAATAAGTAAAAGTATTTATAATTTGTTTCAATACATAAGAAGTTATTCCGAATTCTTTAAGAAAAAAATGATTCCGAATTTTTTTTCCATACGAAAATGATGATTCCGAATTATTTTCGCAATGGAATTTTTTTATTTGCCCCAAGAACGAAACCTATTGAAATTGCCGAAAATCGGTTCAGATTTAGATGTAGCTGTCTATATATTTTCGTCCGATTTTATGTAAATGGTGCACCAAAGTTCATACATAACTTTCGATTTGCACATAATTTGGCATAGCGTACTGAATTGAGTCTACAATGATGTGTGTAAAGTTTCGTGGAAATCGGTTCAGATTTAGATATAGCTCTCATGTTTACTTTCATCCGATTTTATGTAAATGGGGCACAATAATCCGGATGTTTGTTCTATTGAGACAAAATTTGGCATAACATATGGAAATGAGTTTAGGATGGGGTGTGTATATTCCGATGGTACCCCAAACTCATTGGGTTGTTATTAGGTACCAAATTTCTCTACTAAAAATTATAAATATATGTCCACTTTTTCGGGTAGCCCCATTTTAAGGGTACCCCGATTTTTCGGTATTTTTGGGTTCTTGAGGGTGTTTTTTTTTCAACCGAATACGCTGTAATTTAGTATTTTGTAGTCGTATATGTTAACAAATCTCCTTACCAAAAATTATTAGTATTCGCCCCCCATTCAGGGGTAGTCCCCATATAACCCCCTTTTTATATTAAAATGATTTTACATCCCAATTGGAGGTAAAAATTTGCTGGGTAGGTCTTGAATTTAGTTTGTTCCCCCCTGTGTGGTGGAGGTAGTGTAAAATTTCTTCTTCTTTATGCCATTACTTTTTTCTTTATCTAACTTAGAGTAGCATTTTTTGCACATAGTACGGCCTAATTCGAACCCAGTAAATATAATTTTTGTAGGAAACTTTTTTTTAATTTAAAGCACTTTTGTTTGAACAAAAAAATACCATTTTAATTTTGCACTGTAAATTAAACACAATTTTGAGTTCATTGTTATCTTACCCTTAAGGCAAATTATATTTCATGCATGTTTCCAATAAGAAATAAGTATTCAAATCAATATTAATAATATATTGCTTTTATTTTTCTAATTTACAGAGCTTCAGCTGCGGAAATGCGACAGGCTGCAGTAAATTCGGGTCTGGCGACCACTACTCAGCAACCAACCACAAATGATCGTGCTGGCATTATTAACAATGCCCAACCATTTTCGTTTACAGGAGCTGTGGGTACCGATAGTAATGTGTGATGTAATGCATGCCGAGGCAACAACAACCAAATAATTTATGACACTCATATACAAGCAAAAAAAGCCAATACATTTACATACAAAAAACACACACACTACACTAATCTTAGGGATGCCACATACATATATAAATATATAATATATATTATTTTTTGTTTTGTCAGAGAGAATAAAAGTCATATTTTTAAATAATAATAATAACAACAACTAAATATAAATTCTATAAGAAAAAAGGCAGAAATAAAAAAGTAACAATTGTGCTGAAGGGAAGCAGAAGATCAAGGAGAGACTAAAATGGTGGACAAATAGAGGACAACTATAACAATTTTGGCTAACACATGAAGTCTATATATGAGATGGCATTTAAAAATTAAAAAAAAAATAAATTAAAATGCCTCTTTAAAAAATTATTTGCTAATCATAACTGTTACATTATTCTCGTAGGTTATGAATAAAAGGCATATTGACTACCTACCCTACTTCCCCAAATTTGTATTTGGTGTTATTTCTATTGTATTAATTACCCAATTTTGTATTTTTATTGGTTGCTATTATATTGTGTATTAGTTTTCAAAAAAAATTTTCTGTTCTTCCATAAAAATCTAAATTTAAAACTTGATTTAACATAACAAAAAACAAACGACTTATATTCATTCCAAGAGACTTTAAGAAATTTAAAAAAATCTATATATTCTCATTAAAAACAAAAGCTTTACACATTTCGTTTAATTGTAAAAAATAAAAATTTTATTTATATTTTTGTTTATTTCCTTTTTCTCAATATTTGGCTATTTTTTTTAATAATAAGATTTTCTCAAAAAACATACATAAAAAAAGATTGTAAAAAAATATATACTTAACAAAAATAAATACAACAACTAATAAAA